TTTTTTTTATTTTTTCTTTTTTTAGCCAAGTGACGAAAATTAAGCAAAATTACCTCTTGTTGTGATGATTTGGTGTCGTCTGTTGTGTATTCTGACGTTGCTGCTGAGTGTTGCTACTATATGCGCATTAGCGGAGACGATTTCCCCTGATCCTGAAAAGGAACCTGCTGCTTGCACTGAAGATTCTGAACGTTCTGATGGTGAATGTCATAATCGTTCTCCTTCTGCTGTACAACCACATCAAGGACCACAAGCACCTCCTCTTCAAACCCGTGAATCTGATACGAGTCCCTCTTGCGAAACCGGTACTGGTGATACTACTGTTGATTCCTGCACTGCTAGTACTACGAGTGCTCCAGGTCATCAAGGTGGTGGTATTTCTAACCATGGATCCGGGTCTGGTGCTGGTGTCGGTGCTGAGGAGAGTGTAAACCAAGAACGGTTGAATCAAGAACAAAAACAACAACAGCAGGATACTCTTTCAGGTCAACATGGTAGTTCAACCAGTAGAGACCCATCGGTGAGTCAACCAAGTGTGCCAGGGTCAGGAGGTGAAGATGGACGGCAGGAGAATGGGAATAGTGTCGATCAAGGGATGAGGACTGAAGGATCAACAACACGTCCAGTGGGCATTGGAGAGACTGATCACACTAACGGAACTCAACAGCCCGAAGGGAATGGTGTCCAGTCTCCCTCACAATCCTCAGGGGCAGCTAATACCGATTCACCTGATTCTCAGAGTACCCACAGCGGTACAACAGAACAACCTCAGTCTTCGGACAACAACCAAACTTCTCAAGAACCGAATGGTGCAGCTGAGAATTCTAATGCTGTTACGAAGCCTGCAGAGGATGATTCAACAAACGGGACTGAAAGTACAACCAATAATGAGGACTCAACCACCACCACAACAACAACAACACTTCCTCCTGAACTCACAAACAACAAGAAGGGTGATGCAGATAGCAGCAGCAGTATCAGCAGATCTGTGTGGGTGCGTGTACCACTACTGATTGTGGTTACACTGGCCTGTATTCTTGTGTGCTGATTGTAATGGTGGTGGTGGTGGTGTGACTCAGGTCATCC